GGCGATATGCTGACTCTGTAAACCGCTTAGAGAGGGCTGAAAGCCCTATGAAGCGGTATATAAGTCTAACTGCTATTGCTATTGCTATCTTTATTATTTACATTGTTTTATTTAGCTTCCTAGTATGATTTTGATTACTTATTTTGTATCCTAGGACTCTCACTAAGTGTTATATAGTTAGATTCTTGGTGGATGCATTTCTTGTGTGCACTGAGAGCTTCTGCACTGAAGACAAATCCCTCGTGTGTCCAATCACATTTGGCAAATAAAGAATCCTTATTCTTATTCTACTTATTCAAGGGTGCTTTTTCCAAGAGGCAATTAGACTTTCAGGTTTTTCTTTGAAGACGTTTCGCATCAAGGAGGTTCTTCGGCTCTGACTGGATGGTGGGGAAGGATTTATACTCCTTGCAGACAGAACTGGTCATTTGCTTCCTTTTTAGAGGGTCCTTGAGGCCACTTGGAGAATTCGCTCCTTCCCTCTGCTTCCCCTCGATGAATACACAACCTAAAATCAATCTAAATCTGAGGTGCTGGTAGCGCTTCTACACATACGTGTCTCAACATGCAGCTGTATGTGCTCCTAACGTGGAACTGAAGGGGCCGTGGATGTTGGGGTCTGTCAAGATATCTGCAGAAACCGTCTTGAGTATCGCACGAAGAGTCCTCTGTCAACCGATCTGTTTGTGGCGCCATCAAGTAAAACAGGTTCTGAAGCCGCGTCACCCACAGCCACCCGCGAGGCCTCTTACCGTTTAGCCAGTAGTGCTCGGACATATCCGTCCTGATGTAATGCTGGTCTTGCGATGCGCCTAGAGACCGGGTGAGCGCCGTGTCTTTGCCAAGGAAGTCTGAGGCAGTTCCAGAGTAAAGATACCCATCTGTAAACAGGAGGTGGGAAGGGGGAAAATATATATATATATATTATTTTAAGACCACAGAGCAGCGATATCGGACTTGTTTTCCCAGAGCAGCACATCTTGGCCCTTAATTGCCAAAGGCGGAAGGGTTCTGTGCGTTTCCCAAACAACCGCCCTTCTCCTTCTTTCCCCAGGAGATGGGAATTTGCTTTCTTTTCAGAGGAAAATCACATTGTGTGGGTTTCCCCCCTCCCCCCAAGCAATTAATCATTTAATGTAACTGAGCAATTGTGCTCAATGAATTAGTCTCCGTGCTGCTCACTTCATAACTTTGTCGCTGGGATAGTGCAGCCTTTTTATAGCATTACATACACGGCAACCTAACATTCTTGGTTCATGAATAATGATCAATACAGACTCAAAAGATACATAAAACCTTTGATTCATGAAGCCTGGAAAAACTGCTCCAGCGTTTGGGAGTCAGAAAAGGCAGGCCAGCCAGCTGTCTCCGGAAAGCTCACAGCAGCCTCGTAAGGATTCAGAGGCAAAACAGCTCCATATTTGGAATTTCCATCGGCTCCTTTCAGTCAATATGAAGAAAAGGGTTATCCAGAGGTGCGTGTCGTCTAGGGAGGTTCTCCGTCATCTGGTTTGTGGTTTTTCCAAAGGCAACCGGACTTTGTTTCTCCTTGAAGGCGTTTTGCCTCTCCTCCAAGGAGCTTCTTCAGTTCTGAATGTTCAGAAGTATTCAGTTCTTCTTCCTTCAGAAATGAAGAAGCTTCTTAGAGGAGAAGGAAAACGCCTTCAAGGAGAAACAGAGAAAGCCCAGTTGCCTTTGGAAAAAGCACCTTTGGGGTATCCAGAGGTGTAGATAAAATAGAGTTAAGCTTGTGCCTATGATCACACAACCACATCATGGTTAAGGCATCAGACTAGAAGCTGGGCGATTGTGAGTTCTAGTCCTGCCTTAGGCACAAAACCAGACAGGTAATAACCTTGGGCCAGTCACTTTCTCTCAGCCCTAGAAAAGAGGAAAGGGCAAACCACACCTGAAAAATCTTCACACACAAAAAAAAACTGCAGAGACTTCTCCAGGCAATCACCAGGAGTCAATTGTGCACAAACACACAAACACATTAAACACAGCAAAATGGCAGAAATGTGTCTCAATTGTGTCAAAGGTGACTTTGGGTGCTTGGAGGCTTCTTCGTGATCTCTGGACAGAGTGAGAAAGGAACTCCTGCAGATATCCCTCCCTCAATTCTACGCCCATTGAAATATCAGACACACGTTCAACAATCTTGAGGAGGAAAATCACCCGCGTAAGCAAAATTCCCTCTGCTGATTTTTACACACACTTGACTTCAATTTATCAAAACATTTCCTGGCTGGTATTTGTGGATAATTTGCTTTTCTGCAGTTCTCTAATGGTAAAATGAGCCATTTTTTATCCAGGATAAATTTCCAAAATTAATGCCATGATGGTTCAGTCTGAGCAAACGAGTCGAGAGAAAGACAAACTGTGCTGGGAGGCAGCAATCACGAGCCTCAAGGAGAGAGAGGTGAAAAGTTTACAAGACAAAAATGCACAAAAGCCTGCCCAGAAACGAGAGAAGGAAGGAATGTTTGCAATAAGAGAAGTGATAGAGAGGTGGAATCCACAGCGTGGAAGTAAAATGGACCTGGGTTCTCCTGTTTTTAATTTTTCCCACTATTTTTTCCAGCTCTTTTTCTCCCCTCTGCTTCTTGCAAACTGTTGCTTACCCGAAAGAAACACCACAATGGGTGTGTTGTGGGGTCTCCTGCTTGGGCAGGGGGTTGGACTAGATGACCTGCAAGGTACCTTCCAACTCTCTTAATCTGTTTAACATCTATGAACGTCTTCAGGTGCATTGTTGGTTCTACCACATCAACCTGCTCCAAACTGATCTCCCGCAGAGTTTTGGATGACAGTTTGGAGGGGAACCAAAATATCTGGAGGGCATCATCAGATCAGGCTGGGTCTTCAGAGGCATTTATGCAACTTATATCTTGAAGCATCAAGAGGGAGATTCAGTTTCCCAGACTTTCTTAACACGCTTTGTCTTTATTTCTTCTATCAGTGGTTGTGGATGATAGGAAGGAAGAAGAAATGCAGAACACCAGGTTCCAAAAGAAGCTACTTCAGCAAGATAAAACAAGGAACTGTTGTTAAANAATTTTTAGATCTGTGGATTTTAGCTATGCTGTCTGGGGAATTCTGGGAGTTGAAGTCCATGCATCTTAAAGTTGCTAAAGCTGAGAAACATTGCAATCTGTTCCATGGTTGACTAGCTCTTCCTGACATCCAACCAAAATCTTCCTTGGGATTTAAAGTCATCATTTCTTGTCTTATGTCCTCAACTATTCTGCCGCCACCTTCTACTTGTTAGCTATTTTCCAGTTCCAAAAATCAACAAATGACTTTATTTCTTGGCACTTTGGCCTCAAAATTCAGCAATGTGATTTTTAAATTCCCCAAAAGGTTTTGGAGTTGTTATTGAAAGGCCCATGTCCATGAGGGCTTACAAATAAACACGCCCAGTTCAGGAGCTGTGGATTCTTAGATGCTGTTTGACTACTCTGGAACCTCTGGTTCTGTTGACATGCAGGTGGGCCTTGGGAAACATCTGGAAAGTTCTCCACTGGTGATGCAATAATCCATATAAATCTGGGCACAGCTATTCCCCTTGACCCGGAAGCTCTTATCTCTTCACCTATTCTAAAGAACAGCCCATTAGTAATGAAGAGCCAACTGGGCTATTCGATTCCCACGTTCACTTTTTCAATGGCTTCCTCCCCTTTTTAAAACTGCATTCGTGCCGCGGGCGGTTGAGGGGAATCCAAAAGTCCTGACTGAGCCCACTTGGAATGACAGGGTATCATTTGGCTGATGAAGCGATAAAACTTCCTTTGTGCCCCTTTCATAAAATATAAGAAGTCGTTCCTTTAGCCGAGACAGGAGAACTCAAGATCTCGGCTCTCTGTTTATTCTCCTTCTGAAACTGGATCAATGATGACCACAATGCATTTGTTATCCTTTTAGGCCACAAAGTCTTTTCCATCTGCTTTTGCTGCATTTCTGGAACCTTCTTTTCACTACAAATAACCATTTTATTAGCACCCACCGCTTATTAAACTCTTACCCTGTAAGAGAATACTTCGCCTTGAAGTGCCTTGCTCGGCAGCACAAGGAAATAGCTATAAAATCTCTGCTTATCTATGCACTTGGATCTTAGAAACCTACATAAAGATTGTCAAACGGGAGGTAGATCATTTACCTTGAGAGAGATTGTTCACAGTCAACGAATAATCACACAGAAAACTGGAGTCTTCTCTTCTCAAACCAAGAAGAGAAGAAGAAGCAACCCAAGGCAATTCTATCTCCGAGGGACACACAACAAAAGGCTCCCGTGGAACCTTTTTAAGATTAAATACAATTTGATTAACCAGACTCCAGGTTTTTGCTGCCGCAAGTAAAATGGTTATCATTCTAGAATCTGTTTCCATAGGAGAGCTCTCAAAAGTATTGTTCTAGAAATACATGTAATTGTGGACCACCAAGTATCAACGGCAACAATCTCTTTGCTTGTGTTATAAATTAGCAGAAAACAGCTGCAGGAAATCTTACTAACTTCCTACAGAAAATATGTTTCAAGGGTATTTTTTATAGTTTTATTTAATGTTTCATATGCTTTATATTCACCCAAAACTTCAGTGACATCTAGGAACAGATTCCTGCGCAGTTCAAGTCTGGAATCCAACATTTCTTATGCTATATTGAAAGCACTGCACTGTATGCTTTTTAAAAACAAACAATTATTTTCCTCTTTGGGAAAGTCTGAATATCCTTGGGCACAAAGAAAAGAGATGCTCAAAGATAAGCTGTTGCTCGTGATCATTGCATGCATTTTCCTGCTACAAGACGATATGATAGCAAAACACCTTCAGCTCTTTGTACCCCACATCAACAGAATTATTTTATTCTTTTTCATTGGCCCTTTGTTATTCTTTTCCCCCTGTGCATGTGAAAGGTGGCATACATAGGAAATGTTCACTTATTTTATCCAGAACCAGGTAAAGTCATTGGGTCAACTGGCACAAAACCCATAGTCAACGATGGGTTGAATCTGAATTCTTCTATAATTTAAACCCTCCCCTATATTATATCAAAGAAATCACAGATCATGTGACGTGTGATTTCTTGGCTATAATGTCGTAGAGTGTTTAAATTGTAGAGGGATTCGGATTCAGCCCCTCGTTGACCATGATCTACAGGGTGGCAAAGGGATCTGTCCATACTTAAGCTCCACCAAGGTGGATCCCACAGAAACATTAAACTTAGACTGGATCAGGAACCAACAGTAATGATAATGTTGAACAGATCGTCCAGCTAAGGAGGTTTTTCCTAGCCAAAGAGATTTACGTAACTAATTTCCCAAACTTTGGATCCCTCTTTCAGTCTTGTCCTTTGGTATCAATATGTGAACCTCTCAGTTCAACCCTGAGCTCCAAATATTCTCCTATATTGAAAACAAAGAGTGTAGTAGCAATTCACAAGAGAAACCATGATAAATCCTCTGAACAAAACTTCAGTTCACCTCTGATCATCTTTGGATAGGAATTTCAAATGTTTCTTGATTGGAAACTTTACAAACAATGATTAATTCATCAAAGCCAAAAATGTTGCCGAGGACCTATAAAAGCAATGGTGCATTTAAAGTCAACCGTTTTATGGTGGCTGATAAAATTAAAGCCTCTTTTTGTATTCTTTAATCGTGGCCTTACCAAATCCACTCAGTATATTTCATATCCCTTTTATTTATTTTTATTGGTATCCCCAATCAAGTTAGCTATGCAGAGCAAAGTTGAGGGATGTTTATGTGGCAATTTCTTTTCTTTTCCTTTTGATTTCCACTTACATCCTGCTTCTCCTGCCAGGACCTCACTGTGATTGATGCTCCTCACATGCCCTGGCACTGATTAATAAGAAACTTCCCCAA